TTATGCAGAAAAATAAACTGAACAACTTTTGCCTCAGGGTTACATCGAAATTCTTAACCAAATTTAAAATAACAAATAAAGTTCAAAAATATTTTATTTTTTTTAATTATTTTGGCCCGGCCGGGCAAGTGACCCCGGGCCACTCTGGTAGCCTAGGAAATAAATAAATAAAAATACCTGGCAGCAACAATAGCATTGATGGTCGCCTCCTCCTGAACGCTCAGCTTGTTTGCATCTGTGTCAATGCTTCTGGTAACCTGTTGATTGCACAACGAACTGTCAGTGATGATTCCATTGTGAAAACCTCCATTGCACACCCAGCTTGCTTGTTTTGCATCTATCTGTGTCAAATTTTCAGTGCTTCTGGCAACCTGCTGATTACACACAGAGTGTTTGTTCCACGAAGAGTTATTTTGAATCTTCGCTGCACACTCAGGGCACAGTCTCACACTAGTTCCCCGCTGGGACGCCAAACACACATCACTGGTAGGGCGTGTCCTGGCCATTAACAATGCTATCTTCGCCTCCATATGGTACAAAACTCAAACAGGTGGCATCAGCTTACCTGTGGAAAAACGACCACAATGACACACACGCAATAAAAAGAGTGGCATGGGAAACTATTGTACAACCCAGATCTCAAGGTGTCCTGGGAGTTATCGATCCGGAGGACGAGATCAAAGCGCTTATCTTCAAATTCCCCCTGCGCCTCCTTCTCGGAAACGACATCCCCTGGGCCGCATACGCACAAATCCAACTGGCTTGTCTGGCCCCCCCATCCAATCCCCTCCACCCGGTACACCCCTTCCAATGGCTAACAAACAAATGGTGGTCCATTCCTCGCTGTCCCTGTTCAGTCACTGATAACACACCTGCAGGTCTCGCTAGACAAGACCTTAGGGTGGACCCGCTTTGGACAGCCATGCTCACCCTGTGGAGGGAAAGGGGTCCGTCCCAAGCCCCCGTGCCACTCAAATGGGAGGAAATATGGTGCCAGCCTCTATTTGACCATCCACAAATCGTGGATCATAATGGTCTACCGCTCTCCCTCAAGGGGAACTCCAATTGGAAACGCTGGGTGGAGAAGGGAATTTACAAGGTAGGGGACATATGGAACAGCCCCACTCGGTCATGGTGTTCGTTGGACCAAGTCAAGACTAGGACCGGCCAGATTACAAACATGGTCCACGGCTTACAAGAAATCCAAGAAGCCATTCCTTTAGCATGGATCCGAATCCTCAAAACGGGGCCCCGCCTCGCCCAGAATGACTGGTTGGTGACAACGGGGTCCTTGGCGCTACCCATGGTTCTGTACAGTGTGCAAAACACCAAGGACCATCAGGTTTCACTTCAGGTATACTGCGCGGCCCTGCCAGGGGCCAGATGGCCGGCACTGCACCGTCAAGAGGAGTTAGATACACAGCTTCCCGCGTCCACCCTCACTAGAATCAGGGTGGTGGGGAACCAAAAGGACGGCTTTTTCCAATACAAACCCTCCACCCCACTGCACCACCTCCCATTCGACCCATCAGAATGGGAGTAGTCATGGGCGGGATCCCAAACAATGACCCTGGAGCAATACACAGTGAAGAAGGGCTACAGAGCAGCATGCAAACCAGTGAAGATCGAAGATCGTCGACCAAATCACCAAGCGTTGGGAGAGAGACTCCCTGTTGAAGCCACATGACTTCAACTTCAACCTCTTCCAGTGGTCCGCATTCTTCCACATCCGACCGATCAGCAATAGAGCCCTTCAGTGGCAAATCATACATAGATGCCTGCCTACCCCAGATTGGATCACATCACGCACGAACCTGGAGGAGAAAGGACTGCTGTCCCCACTGTGCTCGTACTGCTCCCACACGTTGCCCAACAGAAGAGCTACCATAGAACACTGCCTACGGGATTGCCCCATGGTGCTCCAAATATGGAGGTGGTGGGATGCAGCGTGGCACTACCTTACAGATCACCACCTCCCCTGGTAAGTGGCCATTCTCCTGCTAAGGGCCCCCCCGTCAGGGGCCGGGGAGTGGACTCCGTTCATGACTAACTTGTTTACATACTCCAGACTGACCGTGCTCATGGCAGCCTGGAGGATGCGCTGCTCCTTTGAGACGAGACACCACAACTACGGCTACATGCAAGCCTGTTCAACAATAATTGACACAATCACTGCCAGTACTCAGGCAGCGTGGAAAGAACTAGGGAATACGATGGCAGCCAAGCCAGACATTGACAAAAGACAAAGACTACGGACTAGCTTCGCTGAGACATGGACCGACTCAAAGCAGAGACTCTGCAGTCTCAATAATGACAACACACTCACATGGCATCCCTGGCTTCAGACTAAGAGTATGTGGGAACGACTGCCAATGCACCACTTCCAAGTTGTTCATCAACCGACAGACTTTGTCCTTATCTATGACTGCTGACCCACTACTGTCCTCAATACTGCACTCCCTCCTCCCCCCCACCTCTTCTTGCCTTCTGTCTACCGGCCCCCCCTCCCCCCCTCCCCCCCGTGACCCACACACACCGTCGCCACAACCACTTCTCCCCTCTATTACTAAGCCGGCCAGGGACTGTTCACCTCGCTGCTCTCATCAGAAGGGCGGTCAGTGGAGAAAGAGATCATACCTCCAGCAGTCAGAATTCATCACACCATTGTAAAATGCACCATACCATACATTCAGGAGTACACACCAGGGACTGTATGCCCGCAACAGGTGGTTTGTCCACATGAGGGAAAGGTGTGACCCCATAACATTACCAATGTACAATATCTGTACAATATCTGTGATTCTGTGATATCTGTAAAAGGGACGCTGGTGCTGCTCCCCACCAATAGATGGAGCCTACCCCGGACCAGCTTGAGGTGACTGCTCCTACCAGCAGCTCAAGCTGCCTCCGAGGCTGATTGCATTTTAAAAAAAAAAAAAGATCATTGGGTTAGGTATCCTTTTTTTTTTTTTNCCTGTATACTATCTATACAATCTATAGCAGTCTATAACAATTTTGCGGCATTCGTTATTTTAAAGTTTAAACCACAAGTACCTCCAACAGTTGCGGCAGGTAATGTGCCCTGACACGCTCAGATGAACGGACCTGGACTGAAGCGCCCAAATTCATCCAAGCCGAGACCTTCCACTCTATTTTTTTCCACGGCCAAAATATGGCCCGGGTACTGGTGGTTAAAAAAACTTGGAAAAGAAAAACTTCCCCTAGACTGCATCACACCGGCACTAGATTCTCTAGAACATGGAAAGATACACCCACCATAGCTTTTGTCTTTCTCACAATGGGTGAGTGGTGCAGCCAATCTTGCAGTCATGGTATTCTGCCCATTTTTACTCATTTTGCTGTCAGTGCAGTCATACGGCAACTGGCGCTACTTTTTATTGATTTATAATTTTTATATTTCTTTTTCCAGGTTTTCCCCCTGACCAGCCTTCTTTTCCTGCTGTCCATTTGGTGCTGTTTTCATGAAACAGTTTTTTTTTTCTTTCGTCTTTTGCTTTCTTTTGAATCTTTTCCGGGTTTTCCCTTTTTTTGTTCTTCTTCTTCTTCTTTTTTTCATGGCTACGGCGGACTCGCACCCGCTCATTGCCGGATGCATGTCCGGTTCCGTCTGAACCTCCATACCTCCGGACATTTGCAGACCTCCAGACATGGGGGATTCCTGACCATCCGAGTGAGTTAGCAGGTTCGGAAATGCCCGAACCGTAAAATCAAAAAAATCTGAAGAAAAAAAAAAAGTATGTTATGCAGAATAATAATACAAATCACTTTTGCCTCAAGTCATGTCAGAATAAAAAATAAAAATAAAAAATCTTTTCAAAAAAAAAAAAAAGAATTCCTCAGGAAAAAAAAGAAGAAAGAAGACGGCTGGTTTTTGCCCCGGGCCACTTGCCCGGGGTGCACAGCCGTGCTCCAAGGCCAGGCGGCCCAAGTAGCCTAGTCTTTTTTTTCTTCTTTTTCCCTTTTTTCCTTTCTATTCCTTCTTTTTCCCTTCTTTTGACTTCCTTTTTCCTTGTTTTTTTTTAACCGGGAACCAGGCCTGGCATATATCTTTTTTTTTTTCCTTTCTGTTTTTTTTTTTTTGAGACAAAGATCTTCTTAAAGAGCCAGGAATCGGGCCTGGCGTCCCTTACAAAATTTTGCAGTCCGGTTTAAAGGCTAGACATCACCGGTCAAGCCCGAAAACTGGACTGCCACACACCTCAAAGAAGCAAATCAATCTACGTCTCTACGTCTCAACAAATGTCTTTCAACAATGGTGATGCTGGACTGCTTCTCACCTCTAATGCTATGTACAAAGAGAAACCAACTACAACAAGAAACAAGTTAACCTATGTCTTAAGACTCTTAACGAATGTCTTTTAACGAAAGTCCATCTGTCTTTCTCACGCTGATCAATGTACCGTTTGAAGGACTCATAACTGTAACTGAATTGAGTATTCAATGGAGGTGCAGTAGACGTATGCAATAGAATATACAAACAGTGATGGAGAAAGAGACTGACGGGCTTAACATCCCTCAATTTTTTTAAGGTTTTTTTTTTTTTTTTTCCCCTCACTTTGAGTTCTGCAACTGCAGAATCAGTGAATCCATCACAGCCGAACTTTTTCAAGCCCCCATTCATAACAGCCAGAACCCCAAAACATTTGTACCTGGCCATCCGCGATTATGAGGAGTATGTGATAAGACCCGCCGCTGGCCTCAACAATGCCAATCGCCATCTCAATAATTGGTGCAAAGGATGTCGGACCTGTAACAGATTCATGCTGGGTCAGAATAATGAAAACATGTCAGATTATCAGTTTGTCATTCCTTTTTATTTTCATTTTTTCCTGCTTGTCATTCGTCTTTTTTTTTCCCTGTTTGTCATTCCTTTTGCAAGGAAAATGAGCAATAGCGAAATGACAGAAATCCAGAGTGCAAAAATCACATTTAAAGCCAGCAAGTCGAAATGCCGTCCAGAAAGCAGTAATCCACTGATATTCCACCAACGGAGAACCAAAGCACTGTATCCAAATGTCAATGAGAGCATACTCTAGTCATCACCAGCATATGTATCCAGAGTCCTTCATCCTGCTTGGTGCTCAGCGCCCAGACTACGATCACACAGCCTACTAGCAGCCTACGAATCGACAATGCATCCAGTTGACGTCAGCAGCAGAACCGAAGTACATCAAGATGTGGACCCTTGTAGACCATCGCCAAGACCAGGTACGTGCCCTCACATCGTCAACCTCATCTCTCTCTCTCTCTCTCACCCTCATCTTTCTCACCCACATCTTCTCCCTCATACACGAAGACCACCACCACCTCCTGCTGGCTGTCCAAGCCAAGCCCTGCTACGGGGGCTAGCTATGGCGCTGTCCTCAGCAGCACCCTGCCTTCTTGCACGACTGCACGCGCACATGCACTTGCCTCTGCGCTGACGCAGCAGCCCGCGAGCGCCAGCTCCAGCAGCACTGCCGCATCTGCACGCAAGTGCCCGAATGTCCAGCCCGGACCCCAGCCCTCTTCTATATGGAAAGTGGCGGGCTCTTTCCGCTTGCTTCCCACGCGAGACAGAGTTTCCAGTAGCTTCAGTCTCTGCCAAAGTGTCTGCGCCCAGGCCCATTCAGACAGTGACCTGGGACCGAATTGGTTAGGCATGCCCAGCCGCCCAGGCACAAAAGTGTGGTGCTCCCTGCTTCGACCACGTTGCTGGAAGAGCCTGGAAGGCTCGCGCGTATTTCCGATTCTCACGAGCAAGGCAGATGTAACCAATTGGTGCGTGGCAACTGTCTGACGCCCACCAAGATTTGCAAAACAATTGACGAACTCAGGGCACATCGGGGTTCAGGAGGCCTGCCTTCATTTAGGGCAGGCACGTGCCTGCTGCAAATTGACGAACTCAGGGCACATCGGGGTTCAGGAGGCCTGCCTTCATTTAGGGCAGGCACGTGTCGAGGTTTTTTTTTTTTTTCTTTTTTCCAAAAACAGGAGTATATTATATCATCACAGGCTGGAAAACGGGCCCGGTGTCCCTAACATCAATAACCACGGCCTGCAGGGATGAACCAGGCTCTCCGGCCTGGATCAACCCCACCACAGCTGAGCACCCATCAGCCTGCAATGTTTTAAACTCCTGTTTGTCATTCCTTTTTAATTTTTTTTTCCTGACAAGAAAAGGAGGCAAAAATGGCAGATGATCGTTATGACATTACCTTCTTTTTTTCAATTCTCTTTTTCTCAGGACAAGGAGGAATCATGGACCCTTTTCCCAATCAATCATTTGAGTATCACATCCTCAAAAAAAAAAAAAAAAAAAAAAAAAGGAAGCAGCACAGGGGCCATGAATGAATCTTGAATTTCCAATGACTTGAATTTTCTTCAAATTTTGAATAAACTTTAATAATGACCTTTGGCCCAGGCTAATCTTTTTCTTTCTTTTTAATGATTTAATTTTCATTTCTGCATACCATTTATCAATGTCGAAAGCTGTAATGTCCCATAGTATGCTATTTAAGTTAAGGGGCAACTTTTGCACAGTCACGACAGCAGTTTCAAAATGCACTTCAGGCCAAGGCTGCATACCCGGTCCCACCGGGGCCCCCTCCCCCCACCGGAACCGGCCCGGTTGGACCGGCCGGTGGACCACGCCGGTTCCCCCCCGCAGTTGATATTTGCGCATTTCAAATTGGGGGGAGGTTCGAATTTTTTTGGGGCCGGGAGGCCTCCATGCAGGTCATGGAGGCCTCCCGGCCCCAAAAAAAATCCGAACGTGTCCGGTAGGGCCGCCTACATCTGGAAAACTGGCGGCCTATCTGGACTGTTGATCTGGTGAGATTGGCGGCCCAGATAGGCCGCCTGTTTCTGAACATTCGGGCGGGAAACCGCCCGAACATATAGGCCGCCTCTTCAAACACCCTCCCACCTCCCAACTCCTGCCGCTTTGGAGATGTGCACCCGGTTCGCTTTGGATGTCAAACGCGAACGAGGTGGAGAAGTCGTCGCCCAGCCCTCGTCCGCCTCGGCCTCCTTGGATTTGACATCGCCCTGCCCAGCCGTCGAGCTTTCCCTCCATTGGCAAGCATCTTCTTCTTCTTCTTCTTCTTCTTCTTCTTCTTCTTCTTCTTCTTCTTCTTCTTCTTCTTCTTCTTCTTCTGGTAGAGCTCTGGAGCAGGGACTTCTGCGTTGCGGGAGAGAGAGAGAGAGAGAGAGAGAGAGAGAGAGAGAGAGAGAGAGAGAGAGAGAGAGAGAGAGAGAGAGAGAGAGAGAGAGAGAGAG